TTCAAGTCTTAAACCGCTGGGATCCTGAACAGATCAGATGGAATGCTCGTTAATGGCGAAGAAAATGAAAGAAGATGGAAAAATCAAACCTGCGTGATTAGGAAGTGATCTCCAGCTTCCGTGGCCGTTCTTCTTAATATACTCAACGAGAATCTCATCTTCTTCGGGTGTCCAAGGTCCTTTCTTCAGTCCTTGTTTATCACAGCAAGGAGCTCTTCCCATGTTCTTCTCTTCTGCTCCTCTTTAAATGAATCACAAAAAAGAAAAATAGCAAAAGCTTTAGGCGCAGAGATCTTTATAACAGAAAGAGAAGAAGATCGATCAATTGATGGATCAGTCAAACTTCAGAGCCTTAAATGCGTCGATTATATCTATGGAAATCGGCGACTTCGAAGCTGGTCTGCATTAAATGATACCTCCTCCAACCAAGGACTCGAGAATTTCCTTTTCTTTTTCTTTTTCTCGAAAGCAAAGAAATAATGCAATATTAAGTTAGGACTAGGAAAACACCAACAAAATAATAAATATATAACTCGAAGTGGAGATCCATGGAACGTATTAGCAGCGATTCTTACGTGGCATTCAGAATGGAATTAAAGAGAGCGATCTATTAGCGATTGAGACAGTGAGTTACAGACATCGGATTCTTGTTCTGAAACATCATGAAGTGATGGAAGTGACCATCCTCTCTCTTGATTCTCGTTCAAAGAATTAGGGTTCCATCTCTGCTGACTGCTGTGACAAGGTTAGGGTAAGTAAGGATTAAGGTTAAGGTTTAGGCAGATAGGGGAAGTTTCAGAGATGAAGTTGCGTTTCCATTTCGACGACCTCTGTTCTTTGGTTTGCTTCGTCCAGCTCTCCATTGCTCGAACTTCTGCTTCCGATTCCGATTCAATGAAAAATGCAACTATGACTGTATAAATGGGAGTGAAAGAAGGAAGCGTAAAGAAAAGGAAAAGTAAATACATGGCGTCAAACAAATGTCAAACATGTGTCAAGTCAATAATGCTGACAGTGACGTACTATTACGTAAATGCCCATACTTTTTGAGAGATTTGCCATCCAACCAACGAGAAGAGAGAGTAGTTCAATTCAGTCGACGAGTCAAACATTGCCTGGAAAAGACATCGACGTAGACTTCAATAGTTAATGATCGGTGTACTGTTTCTAGCCACACGGTTACGGTCAGGGAGAGGTTCCTTCATGACCGTTTGTGTGGAATAATATACAGGGAGAGGGAAGAATAGATTCCTAATCAACGGTGAAAGCGGTGTCCGTATGACGCAAAACTTTGTTTTGGAGTTTTGGCGTGGGCAGTGAGCAGGGCAATGGAGAGTCAAACTAGTGGTCAGGACTCAGGACTCAGGACTCATTAAACTCCCAAGTCCCATCGGAACGTCGCATCGTCTGATGTGCAGCAACTGAACTTCCGAAAAGATTACCACAAAACTGCTGTTGGCACAACCTTGGGTCTGGAACCCAGGATACGTCGTCGGTGGGAAACCAGATCTGCTCCTCATAAATGGCGCCTCACACTGATCTCACAGTTACATCTTACCGTGCATTGAAACAACCCACCGTATTTACGTGTTCTTATTTACGGGAGATGCTCCAATGCACGGTGGGATGTGCGTCATTGTGAGGCGACCTGTGTGAGTAACAGATTCCGTTCCCGTGGAGGTGAAGGTCCGATGGATCTGTTATGTCTCAACCTGGATTTTCTTGAAGACAAATCGGCATTTTTGAGGCAACCTCCCTTCCTTCTTTTAATTTGATTTGGGAAAGTCAATCGTTTCCTCGATTTTTTATTTTAGTTCAAAAAAAACAAAGGGTTCGATTATGGAAAAGATATGATATCCGAAAAACAATTGATCAATAAATCAAAATCATAAAGTTAATAAGGAATATGGTGTTATTTATCAAAATTTATGGGTGGGTTTTGATCGGTCAAAACCATTTTATACTATTTAAAATTTTATAAAATATCATAATTATTCTTTTCATCATTTTTTAGATCATTTTATAACAAGATTTTGAAAACTAACCCAGAAATAGAATTGGCCACCATTTTGTGGTTAAGTGATTCGATCGTCTGGGTCAAACGGTTTGATGCATGATGCCATAAATGAAATAAATTTCAGTTCTTGATGTCATTAATAAAATTACAAAAGTGTGGAAATCCATTGTATTGATCAATCCCAAACCTGCGACCATAAAAATAAATTTGGATGCCTTTCCATTGCTTCTATTGCTAGGAATCATTTGGATTCGATTCTTGACTTAAAAGCCTATACTGTTGGTTTTACTTCAATCAATCTAGCTGAAGCTTGGGCTACTGCATAAGCCATCAACATTGATGGAGCGCAATCCGGTCGGTCCTATCTGTCGACGATCTTGCCTCTGACTGGAGCAAAAGGTGTCTAAAATGGGGAAGAAAGCAAGTAGTCTCCGGGGAGGAACCCGGTGAGAGTGCTCCGAAGCTCAAGTTAGTATTTTCTCAAAGGCAAGATAAAAAACCAGATGGCGCAAAGTTATCACGTACCTCCATTCTTGGGGGGAAGAGGGCCTCTTATAACCACTTCGCACACTCACTCCCAAGCTCTTGTCAGGTCGGGTATCATTACCTCTGCACTTCTGCCAGTTCGGGTGTCATCACCTCTGCTGGGGCTGACAACCGCCACTGCTCTCTTTGTCGGAACCGTCTCTGTAACTGGAGGTGGCGGTGGCAGGTGGCCGTTGAAGTGCGGCTGTTAAGCGTCAGATCCTAAGTCAATCAGGCGCGCCGCCTCATGATACAGACTCTTTTGGTGTCAGGTACGGTTGTTCAGTTCGGCAGCCTGGAAACGAAGTGCTGGAGTGGCGTGCGAGGTGAAGTCTTGAGTTCGGATAGAAGTGTGGCTCGAACTGCCCTAGGGTGGGCCAGTTCGGGTTGTTGCCCTTTGCACTCCTCGCAAGGCTCGGGGTCAAATGGAGAGTTCGGGCTCCTTTTGGGGAGCTTGGGACATGGGTTCCTCTTGGAGGAGCTCAGGGCTCCTCTTCTCAGAGCTCGCGCCTTGAGAACTGCCGTGTCGAGCTGTCGTTCCTGCCAGGTCACCCTCGGTTGCTTCCACGTGTCGGGTGGCCAAGAGGTCGGGCCAAATCTACCTCCATCAATTGCCCCCCACTCCTTGCGCTAAGGGTCTTTTCTCTAGCGCGGGGAGTTCACGAGGTGACGGGTGGATTTGACCCGTACTTCAAACCGGTTGACTGATGGCGTGAAGTGTGCGTACATCAGGAGATTTCCGGATTCCTCGAGCGCCAAAAAGTCATAAAATGCGCCAATCCGCCTTTAAATGCTGGGTGACGTGATGGCGGGCGTTTTTTCAAATTCAAAAAACGCGCCACTACTGCCTTCAATGCTGGGAGACGTGGCGGCGGGTGTTATTTCAAATTCACAAAACGCACCACTGCTGCCTTCAATGCTGGGAGACGTGCACTGGCGTCGCTTCAGTTTCCAAAGATGTGCGTTCAGTCACGTCTCGGTCTTAGAAGGCGTGCGGTCAGCTTGGTCACGAGCCGTTGGATTTGCCTCGATCAGAGCCATTGGTTTTCGGTCACTGTGGGTATAAATAGTGGGGGACCCCCAGTCACTTTTCTATCGCCATTCTCCTGCATTCACTTCTTGAGCTCGCGTCAACCTTTCGTGGTCCGTTAGCTTTTTCCAGGTGAGTCAGTACTTTCTTCCTAGTCTTTCTTTCCTCCCTATGTCTAGCTCGGACAACTCAGACAGCTTCTCGAGGGGGTCAGATGCAGGTTCCACGAACCGAGCTATGGCCCCCGGCAGCCTTAGTGAGCCCGAGGCGGAGCCCGAAGTAGAGCTCGAGGGAGAGCTCGAGGAAGAGTTCGAACCCATATGCTGAGTCGCCTCGGGTAGTTTGGCATCCTCCTCTCATCGAGGTCGGATGTTAGACAAGTTCGGGTCTTCAACCATGACGCCCGGGGGGCTATACTCCTTTATCACCCAGTTCAACATGCCCGGGGAGTATACTTACTCTATACCCTCGGGCAACTTCCCTTGGGAACACGGTCCAGACGAGATGTCGATATTCCAGGAGTAGCTCGTCGCCGGGCTGTGCCATCCTTTCCACCCTCTTATCGTCGAGGTTATGAACCACTTCGGCGTCACCGTCGGCCAGCTTCACCCGAACTCTATCCGCAACTTAGTTGGGACTATCTCCCTCTTTTGCATACACATTCTGCCTTTAGACCTAGAGATCTTCTCTTCTATCCTCATGCTTAAGAAGCAAGCAGGTCCCCTTCCTGGGCATAGACGGGCGTACTACCTGTCTCCTCGCCCGGGGTTCAAAATTTTACACGATCTTCCCAACAAGGTCCCGGCGTGGAAACGGAACTACTTCGTGGTACGAAGTGCATCAGGGTGGATGTTCCAAACCGGGTGGGGGTTGGCTGCCCCTGACCTTGGTGTTACGCTAGATAGGGAGACGGCGAAGGGCCTCCGGGACTAGGCCCGGCTCGGGCTAAAATGCCACCATTATCTGACGGAGGCCAAGCTCATCCAGGCCGGCCTGAGTTCGGGTAGTTTCCTCGCTCAGAGGTTTGCCTTTGTTTTTTGCTTTCCATTCTTTTGTTTTTTCTGATGCCGAGCTCTTTTTGCAAGTGTGATGGACGCAGAAAAGACTCGTGGTGGGAACTTGTTTCACGCCATGAAGAGGAGGAAGTGAGTTGCCAAACGGGTTCATGCCGAACCGCCCCGAGATGCGGAGCCCGAGGTACCGAGCTCTCCGCCCAGGGAGCCCGAGATGGCCCCTCCAGTACAAGAAGCGGTAGGGGCCCCTTACGCCGAGGTTGCTTATACAGGGGCTCCTTACACTGAGGCTGCTTATACCCGGGCTGGGCCTTCAGGCTCGGGAGGCCAAGGCGAGTTCAGGAGCATACTGTCGCCGAACCACGCTCTTCAAAAATGTAAGGAGGCCGTTTACCCTGAGGAGGTCGCAGCATGGGCCAAGCTTCCTTTGAACCACGTAGCCAGGCGTGCTGCCTCTTATGCCATGGTGGTAAGTTAGAGACTTCTTGTCGGACTCCTTGTCATTACCCTTATCATTGTTACTCTTTCAACATTGTCGTTATTTTTCTTTTTGGCAGGTGAACTCCTCCATCCATGTGTTAACGGTCCAAGCGGAAAGGAGCTCGAGGTGGGCGCGTGCTGCCGAAGAGGCTTCCCGCGCTACCGAAGCGGCTTCTCGCGCTGCACAGGCCAGACTAGCGAGGTCTCAGAGAGACACCGAGGCCATGGGAGTGGTGGTGAAGCACATGGCGGACCTGAGGCTAGACTTGCAGCATCAGGTCAAATACCTTCAAGAGGATATTAGGGAGAGGACTGAGATCTTTTCTTAAGGCATCGAGGATGCCAAGAAGAAGGTTGTCGATGACTATATCGCCTCGCCGTGCTTTGACGACCTAATGGTGAACTCGTACAGGAGGGGTTTTAAACTGAGCCGGTGGATGATCAGGAACGCATACCCCGAGCTTGATATCAGCATCATAACCACTTCGCGCATTACTCAGGAGATGGCCAACGTGGTTGATGGTGAACCGGATTCTGAGGATGAGGCAGGACCCTCGGGTATCGTTGAAGTGCCTTCCGATGGTGAGGAAGATGTACCTTCGGGCCTGGGAGCTCGCTTCTGTTGTTTTTTTTTTTTTTTTTGAATGTAAACAAAGTATTTTGTAATGAAATGTTCTCTTTTTGGTTAAGTGTTGTTCTGTCACCCTCTCTTTTTTCCGAACTGACTATATGCCCGATCCGTTTTCTACCTGGGTTACTGTACTCGTGCGGCCTATTTTGGTGTTAACACTTGGCCTCAGATGATGAGATGTCGAGGTCCTTATCAGCTC